ACTCCGAATGATCTCCCCCAGCGGCTTCATGTAGATGTTAAATAACATCGGGGACAGGATTGAACCCTGTGGAACTCCACACAACAACCCAATAACACCTTCTGGGACCGTCCCTCAAGAAAGGATCGGAGCCACTGCAAGGCAGTGCCCCCGAGCCCCATATCTATGAGGCGTCCCAGGAGGATACCGTGATCAACGGTATCAAAGGCCGCCGAGAGGTCCAGCAGAACTAACAGGGACACACTCCCCCTGTCAAGCTCCCGGCGCAGATCATCTACCAAGGCGACCAAGGCTGTCTCAGTACCATGTCCCGGCCTAAAGCCAGACTGTGCCGGATCTAGATAATCAGTGTCTACCAGAAACCCCTGGAGTTGTGTTGCCACCACACGTTCCATGACTTTGCCCAAATAGGGGAGATTGGAAACTGGCCGATAGTTGTCGAATTGAGTGGGATCCAGTGATGGTTTCTTCAATAGCGGTTTTATAATAGCTTGTTTTAAGCTCGCTGGAAACTTTCCCTCTTGTAAGGAGGCATTAACCACCATCTTCACCCACTCTGCCAAACCCCCTCTGGCTTCCTTTATCAGCCAGGATGGGCAGGGGTCTAGGATGCATGTGGTAGGCCGCACCTCTCCAAGGATCCTGTCCACATCCTCAAGCTGAACCAATTGAAATGAATCCAACAAAACTGGACAAGCAGATGCTCTCGTTACATCCCCAGAGACTGCTGTTAATATGGCATCAAAGCCCGACCGAATCCGCGCAATTTTATCCGCGAAGAATCGAGCAAATGCCTCACAGCGAGCTACCGTGTTATCAGGGGCCTCGCTTTTCGGCGGATTTAACAGACCCCTGACAACTCGGAACAGCTCAGCTGGACGGTTCTTCGCAGATGCAATGTTGGCGGCAAGAAATGTTTTCTGTACCGCTGCTATCGCCACACCGTAGGACCTTAGGAAGGCATTCAGGTGTGTTTGGGCAGGGTTGGTGGGGTTCCGGCACCACACGAACTCTAGCCTCCTCTTCTTTCGCTTCATCGCTGCCAGCGCCTCGGTAAACCAAGGATCAGGTTTAGCTCGGTTACTCGAGAGGGGGCGTTCCGGAGCGATTGTGTCGATTGCCCTGGTCATTTCCCTATCCCAGCGAGAGACCAAGACATCGACAGAGTTGCCAGCCAAGAAGGTGGAGAATTCCCCAAGAGCTGTCAGGAAGCCTTTTGGCTCCATAAGCCTCCTGGGGCGGACCATTCTAATAGGTCCACCACCCCTGCGGAGGTTAGGAGATGCAGTGAGTCTAAACCTGATCAGATGGTGATCGGTCCATGGCAATGGAGCGATGGTCAGCTCCTCCACCCCGTCACTTTCACCCCATCCTTGAGAGAAGACCAAATCCAGTGTGTGCCCGGCACTATGGGTGGGACCAGATACTAATTGGGACAGGCCCATGGTTGCCATGGCGGCCATGAAGTCCTGAGCTGCACCCATAAGAGAGGTCTCGGCATGGACATTGAAATCCCCCAAGACCACAAGCCGTTGGAAGCTCAATGCCAAGTCCGAGACCACTCCCGCTAGCTCAGGTAAGGAGACTGTTGTGCAGCGGGGTGGTCGGTACACCAACAGAATCCCTATCCTGTCCCGGTCACCTATCCTAAAGCCGGCACACTCAAAAGAAGACGACTGTGGGATGGGGCACCTGATCAGGGGAATACAAACCTTATAGACCACTGCGACTCCACCTCCCCGCCCTCCAAGCCTTGGTTGGTGCTGAACGGAGTAGCCTGGCGGACAGAGTTGGGAGAGATTTACCCCTCCCCCCTCATCCAACCAGGTCTCCGTTATACAAGCCAGGTCAGCTTGTTCTTCCAGGATTAGATCTTGAATAATGGAAGTTTTCCCATTTACTGACCTGGCATTGAACAGCACCACCTTTAGCCTGGAGGGACCACCAACCTGGCACCTCAGCTGTATCTTGTCAGGAGAGTGTTTTGGAGTTGTCAATAAGTCATTGTTAATTTCGGGCCGAATGGGTTGTTGAGATGTGGTTTGAGTGATCTTTGGAATTGCCAATATTCTATTATGAATTTTGGGCCGGATTTGTTTATATCTAGGATTACTTGGGTTTGCCAATTTATTGTTATGAATTTTGGGCCAAAATGGATCTTTTGTTCTCCCTTTCCCGTATCTCCCTCTACCTGTCACCACCTCTATGGTGGCCCCCCCACCCATGGAACCACCACCCCCGGGGAAGTTCCCTCCATTCTCCTCAGTTGTTGTTTCGACTGTCAGCATTTGATAACAGACATTGTTATGGTTACACATAGTTAGATCCCGGCCTTCCCACCCCTTAATACATCCTGTTCCTTTCACTATGCCAAGGGTTGTAAAGTGCACTTGTATAGGTAGCTGATAAGCTGTCAAGAGCAACACAAATGGCATAAGTGGTGACATAAGGCGTAAAGTGCAAATAGTTAACAGTATGTATAATTAGTTCTAAAGTGACAGTGCAGGACAGTGCATTTGTGCAGGACAGTGAATCTAACATTTTTTGTTGTTGTGTCTTCAAGCTGCTTCTGACTTATTTATGGAAACCCTATCATGGCAGCCTTATCACGGAGTTTTCTTGGCAAGATTTGTTTACAGTGGGTTTGCCTTTATGTAAAGCAAACAATGTGATTTGCCTAAGGGCTCTACTTTGAGTAGCACTGCACTACACCATATAAAAGATATGAGGCTGCACACAACTTGAGAAGGTGATAAAAGATGGCTGTTTTACCTTAGCATAAAACCCCACTTTAAAAAAATCTCGCAAAGCATTAAGGACCAGGAACATCCAGAGCTAGACATTGCTTTAAAACAGCAGCTGCTTTTTCTACAATACAAGCCTCAAAGCAAGTGGCCATAGCTCACCGCTGTGTTCCTTGAGTCAGGGAAATTGCCACAACTGCTATCAAGTTCCTCTACTTTTCTGTCAGGATTACTTCCCTACTGCCATAATAAAGTATGACAGTCATACAGCATCTTACAAGCTAATACATGAAGCTATACTCTTGTGGTCCCAAGAGCTCCATGAGAAATCGGCTGAGGGGCTGCACAAGCACACACGCTTATTATAATTAATTCAAGTCTAATGTGATTACAAGCCCCCAAATGTTAATTTTAATTCCACCATAATTAGTTTATGTCGTTTAATTTAAACTCAAATTATTGCAAGAACATTTACTTATTCCAACAGTACTTGAAACATTTTGTGCCTCCACACTTTCCCTAAGTAGTCAATTTATGTATTTAAGGCCAGTTAATGTTAACCATTTCAACTTACCAAATCTGAATTAATTTTCAAAATTAATTCCCTGCTTCAACTTCACCATTGTGAATTCAAAATGTTCTGCTTTTGCTTTTTGAAACTGCCCTTCTCTCTCCCTCTTGGCTTCAGCAAGAGTCAGAACCCATCAGTGAGCAAACAGCTCTAGTGTCTCCTGACAGCCAGTGACAAGCCATTTTTCGGAGATGATCTGGCAGCCACTCAGAGGAGGCGCTACTTTTCCTGCCCTCTGGGTGCAGTCCTCCAGCATTCTCCTAGAAGCAGAGAGTCACTTCTCAATGGAGCATGAGAAGTGACTGTCCACGTGTGTATGATTGTGTTTTTTTTAAAAAGACAGACAGTGATTCTAAGTGCAGGGGAATCAGAGAACACAGGAACAATGACGGCTGGACCATCCTTTTTTTAAAAAGCGGTGGCAGTGGCTTTTACAGCAATAGCTGAAGTCCTGGTGTTAGTTGACTGTGGCTTGTGACCCCCACAAACGACCCTAACAAGAAGAAAAGCATAACACATTTCAAACAGATTTTTCTAACCTGTACCTTGAGTCTCTCTGTTCTGGGGTAAGAAATAGTGTCATGGCTGCCCTCATGTCTCTTCTTTCCAGCATCCCCCAAGGGAAGCAGGAGATCTGCTGACCTTCCAGTATAAGAGTCACTTTGGCTCAGAGGTGAGGATGTTTGGGATATCAAATCCTGGCACTGCAATCAGAAAGATAAGCATTATGATCTGTGTATCTTCAGGTAGATGCAGATCCATTAAAATATGTAAACAATATGACTATTAAGACCAACACAACCAGAAGAAAGACATTCACTTCTATTAATTAACATCCACCCTGAAAATACAGATAGAAGAATACTAGGAAAAATGTTATCTGAAAATACAGTTTTACCATTTGCATCAAATGGTACACACAGATCTAACAATGCATTTGAGATATTAATGCAAGTCTTCTACAGAATATGAATCACTCTTTGACTCTGTCCTATTAAGACTGACAGTTCGCCATGAAGCATTATCAGCTGAGAGTGAATCAAAGCACTGCCAGCTAACTACCTATTACATTTTAAGGTCATGAAGGGGGAAAAAATTGCAACTCTACTGACAAGTAAAGAGAATTCTTTCAGTAAGGAAACAATGCACTTCAGCCTAACATACAGGAAAAAATATTAAGTCTCTTACTTCAAATTTACATTTTTAGTTGAGTACTTGTACTTCTTAACAGTATGTAATATGGTTCTAAGTAATGACCTCTTTCTTTTCAAAGGAGTAATAAAAATAATAAAGATGATGGAGAGGGATTGCAGGGTGGGACATTGTGGGAGTTTGTATTGGTTTTTTGTAGTATGTATTTTTCTTTTTAAAATAAAAATATGAAAAAAATAATCAGGATGGAATTCTTCCTCTTATGTTTACTAATATGCCGGAAAGAATTGGTGAAGAAGAAGCAGAAAGCACTCACTCTTCAATTGTGATTTTACTTGCAGTGGCTGCTCAGTTGCTTTGGTCATCACTTGGAGGGAGGAATAAGTGGTGTTACGTAAGAATCATTTTAATTATTAATTAACAGGAACAGGCTGGCCACTCGGACAGTTATAACAAAGGATAGGGATGATCATAAGTTCTCATTGTATTTGAATATTAGCAGTGTTCTCTGAGATTGTCAGAAGAGCATTGCTTAAACTTAAGAGATGGTCAAGATATGGCTGACATGTCAAGTTTTTTATTTACTGCATTTCTATATTGCCTTTCTCAGCCCGAAGGCAACTCAAGGCGGCTTATACTGGAACAATTCAATGCCACAATGAACATAAACAAAATTAAAACATTTAACACACATTATAAAATCCCTGTAAAAAGCATTAAAAGCATAAAACACCAGTAACTTCCTATTAGCTCGTTTTCCATATTACACACATGGAGGAAGAGTACATGCCACTTCAAAATGATAGGCGATCAAGACTGTTAACCAAAAAAAGCAGTCTTTTGATATAGCACTGGAGGTCATGTTTATTCAAATGCAAAACTTCTTTTCCAAGGCAAATAGTACTTATGAGAACAACTAGGAGTGAGTAATGCTCACAGTGTAAACTGTGACGCTCCTTGATGCAGGAAGGCTTCATGATAGTGGGGCAGTCCATTTGCTGTATTGCCACTATGTCTGATGCAAGTGTTCCAGACAATCATATTTCATTGGATGGTTGCAAGGAACCAGCTTCAAGAGATGTGGTTCCCTTGGGTAACTTTGCTGCTGGCAATGCCAGGAAGGTCAGACACATCAGTTCTGACCTATTCCACTGTTCTCTGCTGTCAAAAAAAGAGCTATGAGAGAGTGAACCTTGGTTACAAATGTTTCTGTTATCTAGGCTAGTGTGTGGGAAGAGGATCTTGGATTGGGTGACCATTCAATCGTATGAGCCCCAATGTGCAGACTGAAAATCTGTTAATAAGTTTTATTACTCATCTACTGTTTATCAGAATAAGGGTTCATACACATCTCCCTGTCATTAGTGAAACCGCATTGTCAATTTGCTGCATATTACTAGGCTTTTAAAATTATTTAATTAATATTCATATTTTTATCAGTTTGCAATGGTTTTGATGTGTAATATTTCCTAAGTCATTAGAAATCCTGTAATTATTATGGAGAATAGGAGTTGAGCATACCATCACTTGTGTATGTAATTATGCATGACATGTAGGACATTTTTGCATGAATCTGAAAGCATAGCTGCGTCGTAACACAGCAGCAGTCACAGCAGCCAGGGGCTGATGGGTTCACTGATGACTTAAGAGTCAGATGGGTTTGTGGGCTCTCTTGGGATACCTTCTCAGGCAGGTCAGGGAAGTGTAACGGTTTTAGATAGAGAGACCAGCACGAATACAGGGCCTAAGAATATAATTGCCTCTGAGCCTCAAGCCAAGGAAAGGAGTTGGAGTCATCCTCTCCAGATAAGGAGTTTAGCGAAGATGAATTGATGAGAAATTCTAATGGGAATGTATGTGGTGCTACTGACCTAAGCAAGGAGGCACACTTGCAGATTGAAACAGACAGCCAGCTTCGTAGATCAACACGGCTTCATGGGAAGCAGAAATTTCAGGGTAGACATAATCAAAGTCTGGTTATTAAGAGCTAAAAGGGACTTTGCTCTTCAGTTCAAGCAACATGACTTTCAAAGTACAGGGCTGAGTACTTTGGTTCTTGTTTCAAGTTTTAGCATGAGGACTCGGGTAGTCTGGGAGTTTTTCATGTTCTTGTTTTATATTCCGGTTCAAGTTTTGCTTATGGATTTAAGATGCCTTTGTATTTTGGGACTATCCTTGGATTATACTGTTTTTGGATTTCTAAGAGACAACTGATTGTTGACTATTTGGATTTTACACCTTGAATCCTTAGTCCTGCTTTCTCATTATATATCGTTTGTGTGCAATAAACTGTTCGCCTTTACTCTGGAGTTTTGTGTGATGCTGTGATTATAGGTGGCTTCAGGCCTGGGGTGTGACAAGCTGGCAAATTGAGAAAGTGTACTGTTTTTTTAAATAAGTACCAGGATAGAAGAACAAATCAAAGATCAGCCTACACAATTACTGTCTCCAAATCCTGGATATGCTATGTGTACTTTCATTTTGGAACGTGTGTGTGTGTGTGTATGTATATATATATATACACATACACACACACACACACACACACACACACACACACATATAAGTCAACCTTATTTATATATTGAATACATGCTTTGGGGCCAAAATTAGGGATTTTGATATGGACTGTGAATAAGTTGAATATAAAATTTGGAGTCATGTAATGAAGGATGTTAAGAATGTTATTTCTTTTCTTTTCTTTTTTTTTACAAAATTAACAACAGGTTGGATCATAGGCTTACAAACATATGATATAAACATGTGATAAAAGATGGTAACTCTTCTAAATACAATGAGAATTCATAGCACAGGCAAATACATAATCTCTATAAAAGTTATAGTTTCTGTTATTCTAACTACAATCTCCTGATTTTTGAAGCATAAATAGTAATTTGAGGCTAATATAGGGGGTCAGGAGGGATGCAGGGTGGGGGAAAATAGAATAAAGTTTAGCTAAAGCACACCTAATTTAAACTAGCACTGAGCTACAAATAGAAAAAAAGATAGTAGTGGATTAAAGACTAGTCACAGGTATCCTATCTGTGGAGGATGAAGCCACAGATTAAACATAAATACATTTATCCATTCTGCCAAAAAAGATCAATATAACAGCTGTAAAGTTTAAACCAAGCAAATGAAGACAAATATATTTCTTTCTGATTTGAGATAAAAGTTCTTGCTGATTTTTTTTAAAAAAAATCAGCATTTCCTGTGCATTCCAAAAGTATGCTATTTCTAACTTTTATAGTTTTAAATCTCAATGTGAAAAAAATGTTTGGGGGAATATGCCGGTGCAGCTGTTCTTTTATTTGGCCTTTTCCACTCATCTTTCATCAATATATAGCAAATTTTACAAATCCGGATTTCCTGAGATAATTTCAAAGGAAAAGAAAGTATATTTGGGAGAGAAGTATGAATACTGCATTTCCAGTACTCATACTGAAGCCCCATTTAGAACTTCTGACGCACACAAGCTCTCTGTTAACATGTTCCAACCATTGCTAAAATCCAGAGGCTTGTGCTTCATCTCTCACTACAGAGAGCTATAATTTTCTTAGTTTGTGAAGAGATGGTTAAAAGGACAGTAGAAATCAAGGATTTTTTAAATAAGACACATGTTCTATAAAGCCCAACTGCTCATTGGAGGGAAGGATAGTGTAGGCAAAGATGAAGTACTTTGGCCACATCATAAGAAGAAAGGAAAGCTTAAAGAAGAGAATTATGCTGGGGAAAATGGAAGGAAAAAGGAAGAGGGGACGACCAAGGGCAAGATGGATGGATGGCATCCAGAGGCGGCCCTAGGTAATTTTCAACGGTAAGCAAACAGTATTTTGGTGCCCCTCCCCAACCAATCATTGATATATATTTTCTGTTTGTCGTGGGAGTACTGTGTGCCATATATGGTTCAATTCCATCATTGGTGGAGTTCAGAATGCTCTTTGATTGTAGGTGAACTATACATTCCAGTAGCTACACTTGCCGCACTTGCTCCCTTGCCTGGCCCGCTTTGGGTCTGGAGGCGTGCCTGAAGACCCCGGCGTGTGCACCAAAAGTCACCTCTTCTCCTGACTTTCTCCTCAGCCATTGGGACCAAGAGAGAGAGAGAGAGAGAGAGGTGGAGATGCCCACCTTTCCTGAAGGTAGGCGCAAAAACAAAGGAGGGAGCGGAGGTGGGAGATACCTCCAGCCGGAGGGGCTCTCTCTCTCTCTCTCGGTCCCAATGGCTGAAGAGAAAGTCAGGAGAAGAGGCGACTTTTGGTGCGCACGCTGGGGTCTTCAGACACGCCTCTGGACCCGAAGCGGGCCAGGCGTGGCGGCTCCGCCCCTTGGCCCACCCGGATTGGGGAGAGGAGAGGAGGCGGGTGGAGCGCCGGGGGATCGGGAAAGGGAGCCGGTCATGGGGAAGGGATCGAACGCGGAGAACGATTGAGCGCCGGCTCTGCTCGCGCACCCGGTGGCCGGGTGGAGCAGGAACGAGAGGGGCTAGGCGAGGCTCAAGGGCCCGGCCCCTTTGGGAAGAGGATCGCCCGGCAGCGAGGCAAGAAAGCCGAGGCTCCCCCCGGACTGCTGGGGCTGTTGTGAGCTGAGGGGGCGCTCCTCAAGTGGCGGTCGAGGGGCATTTACAGAGGCGCTTCTGCGCCCCTGGCAAAAAAAAGTGTTCTGCGACCGCTTACTTTGCGTAATGGATGAGCCGCCCCTGATGGCATCCTTGAAGTGACTGGATTGACCTTGAAGGAGCCTGGGGTGGTGACAGCCAACAGGGAGCTCTAACGTGGGCTGGTCCATGAGGTCACGAAGAGTCGGAAACAACTGAAGGAATGAACAACACCACATGTTTTATAAAAATGCGCTGGAAGTTTGAAATGTAAATAGTGACTCACCCTTAGCTGAGAAAACCGTGGTGGCTTCTGTGGGGGTTCTTCATATGGTCTGTCTGCCAGAGAGGCTATTATACGTTTACGATGCCCGAGAAGATTTACCTTGAGCACCTGAAGAGATAGAGAAAGTTGTTTAAAAAAACACACCTCAGATCCTTCCTATATTGTATGTCGCCAGGATGAAAATAGTCCTGCAAGTACTGGAATTTTGCTCTTAACTGGAGCTTAGGAACGTACATTTACTAGTTCTAGTTCCCAGAGGTTTTTCACAGAGTCTATAGAGCTGTAGCCACTTGACAGGAATGATTGAATGTAGTCCTGCAGCCCCAAGGAGTCCAGCCAGGCTGGGACCGAAGGCTGAGTTCCATCGCAGCCCAAGGATTTCACCTGCAGATAGCAAGAGAGAAAAGTATTTCCACAGCACAAGACTCAAAGAGTTTGGATCTTAACAAAAAGAGGAAGGTTTCTATGTAATTGAATTTGGCTACACCTACTACACAGGATGTTGGAAGAAAAAACACTCTATAATTTCCTATGAGATAGAAGCAATATGTCCATGAAAAGTTACTGCAGATCATATAGTGGTGCCTTTTTTCTCTTCCAAGGTAAAAAGCATATGTGTGTATGTGAATTTGGATGATGTAAATGTTGACTATCTTGCTAACCATCTCTTTTCCAAAAGACCCCCAAACTATGTTCCAAATCACTCAAGATTTCTTTTTCTTACTGAAAAAATGGCCTATCACATTTCAATTATATGCAACGTTTTCTTTGTCTCACAGTTCCCTTAATAAGGTCAACGTGAGTTAAGACCTTATAAAAATGGAATAAACCATGACCTTGTCTTCAGACTAATTTCATGTGGCCTTTTTGCAAGTGATTACATTTGAATTCTAGTAAGAACATTCCCTCTCTTTCCAGGCCTGGTGAATGGAGCACAATTTGGAGAGGAAAGAGAAAACGGCTTGTTAGATATGGAGGGAAGTTCACCTATTTTTGGCCCTGTTCATTGTTGGCTTCAGCCCAGTCCATCACCCACATTAACCCAACACATAACCCCTACGAGAATATGGTCCTTAAGAGAAAAAAAGTTTCCACCTAAGACACAAATGATAAGCCTGTCAAAAGAATCAATAGATCCCAATTCTGTATATCAGTGGTACAATAATCTTAGCAAGTCGAATAAAAATTCAAAAAACACTAGTATACCTGCTTGTGTAAGAATGCACTGGCTCTCAGAAATAACCAAAAATCAGGAACTTACGGAGAAAAAAACATCTGATTTCTGCTACTTCATGTTTCAAAAAGCAAACCATTTTAAGTAAGCAAACCGGTTTTCCTGTTCTAATGCTTAAATCTATTTGAAGCAGAATGTTTTGAAATTGAATACTAAACTTTCTATTCTAGGAGTATTTTCGCTCACATAAAATCTTAATGCTCCATTCAGTACAAAGTACAGTTGTTACATTTGGAAATGCCCTATATTTCCAGTAATAGAGTCACACAAGGGAAGGTTTTATTGGTGCATTTTATGTTTGTATTGGCAACCATACAGGAACAAGATATTTCACTGCCGACAATATGAAAAACCGTTTTGTGATTTAGCAACTCCTTAGTAAATTTGCTATCAGTCTAATTACTTCTGCAATAATGGTTTCATCATGGGTCAAGCCAGACCGTGCATAGTTCTTCACAATGTTTGTATCTGTTCTGATATCGGCTAGTCTACAAACACATTGTTTTCTCAAAAACAGCTCTTCTTAACTCCAATTGCTCACAGTTCAAGATCTGTTTGACTCAAATGTTCAGTGAAAAATAGAATATCCTCTGTTTCTTACTAACACTTCTATTCCCAATGCAATTAGTATAGCAGACTGCAATTTGCTTCTGTAACATGATCTGTCCATTCAAGTCCAGAATATTCTAATAGTACTTTATCTGAGTTTACATGTGAAGATATGCATGAGTTTAACCTTAGGAAGGGAACGTGCGGCCTGTAGAAGTTTTCTGCGATGCTGTGGGTCACTAATACCAATCTCCCGAAGGTCCTGATCTTCCATGACATTACAGCCCTGCAGGAAGATGAGACAGATGTGGAATGGAGTTTCAGTAGTAGGAGAGAGAGAAAATAAATAAGGCACAGCATCATTGCATTTTAATCCAACCTGTGTATGTCCCACAATTCTGCATAAGCATCATGCAGATGTAGAATTTGATACTGAAAGTGAATTTACCATCCTTTATATTTTAAGCAAATTCCACTCTCTAGTTCTTAATGCTGTAAAAGATATCCTTGAAGATGTGTGCAAATCATCCAGCAAAACCACAGAAGCCAGAGGGAATCCAACTTCCTAGTGCTAAAGATTTTCTACAAAGCAACAAATTATGCAAATAGTGACATTAACATGGAACACATAAAAAAACAGAACTTCTGTTTTTCTTCAAATAAAATATGGTTTATCTTCATAAAGAATCATTTTTTATCACAGCTTTTTATGCTCCCCAGATCTGGGAATGAGGAACAGCAAGAAGCCCTTACAATAAAATCTCATAGCTGGTGGTCAGTTGTGTATATTATCTTGCCCCCTCAGCATCTCCTCCAGATTTATGATAGCAATATAGTGTTTTCCTGGATGGGTGCCATAAATACAGTCTTAGTCAAGAGATGTGGAAATACTGATCTTCAAGATATTGAACTGCTCCCTTAACTATCATTACTAATGTGATAGACATGTCAAAAGGGTATGTAGCCATCGTGTGGCCTGAAAACTAGTTAGCACAATAAATTCTATGTGGCATTTCCCATGATGCTGGTCTAGAAGTTGCACATAGTGTAGTAGGCAGCCCTGCGGCTGTTGGTTATGCACTGAGTGTCTATTTGTCACTGAACCAAATTCAAGTTTTTGCCACCACTTTACAAATCCCTAACCAATTAAAGATCAAGACATCTGAGGATGTAACTTCTCATCATCATTCAGTATAGTCACTGAAACTTTCCGAGAAGACACTTCCAGTGGTTGAATGTGTGTCCGGGACCTGATGGGAGAGCCATCAAGTATGACATTTACCATATTGTCTCCCATCATTTCCATCTGAGGTTAGGAATGCGCTAAACCTTCTCTGTATTTGATCAGCTTTGAAAAGGGTTATTTCCAAACAAACATTCCCCAACTAATAAAAAAAATCACTGCTTTATTCATGTTAGATTTTGTATTTTAACACACTATACACTGCTGTGAATCTCTGATATAGAGCACTTCGTAAACTCCATATCAAAATTTTAAAAATGCAAATGTCTCAGACATCTTCTGGCTAGTACATATAATGAATTCCCATAATGAGTACACATGAGTACCTATAATGAATACACATTTTTCTCCTGCATTTCTTTAAAATTCCAGTCTGCTTACAGATTTAAACAACTGTTTAGAATACAAAGGAAACACAAAGAGAAAGGAATGTAGAGAGCGCACACAAGGATGTTCAGATATTAGTTTTTCCATACTGTTGCATAATGAAGTCATAAAATGAGCAGGTATGGTTATGATCACGGACAGTTCTGCAGCATGAAGCACTAAATGGCAACTGGTCTCAACCAAGGAGAAGGCTTTGTTTTATCACTTTGTCCACTGATGCAGTCAGATAGTTCTGATGTGAGAATACGTTTTAGATTGAAGTCATCTGACTCGACATCTAGCAATAGCTAAAGACATCTGATATTGTATCTCTTCTATAATCCCTGAGATACATTCCTGGGACAACAGGAATGTAGCTTTAAGAGTTTACATTTCCCTGTTTTAACAGGAGGGGAGAACTGTGAACAGCATTATAACTGCTCCTTGGTAGGATGACTACTGTTTGTCCCTACAGCACCAAAACCACTTCAATGTCACACTCTTGAGAGAAACTGAGAAAAATTGATTTTGCTTCTGGTTTTGCAAGTGTAATATATGTATCCATGCTTCTTTTCTATAAGTCTTTCACTGTCTCAACCCGATTACACTTGACAGCCATGAAAAAGCCATGCATGAAGTGAGGGTCTGAAACATTCCTCAACTTTTTCGGTCAGACTGTCTACAGCCTACTTTCCTTGTGAGCTCCACTGCATCTCTTTCCATCCAATAAATTTTAGCAGATTGATTTACATGACCTTCCCATTTCATACATGCTTGGTTTCATCAGTCATCTCTTTGAGCACAGTTTAACAATCCAGCATACCACCCACCCACCCCCTCCAATGCAGCTTCAACTGCCTGCCCTTTTCTCCTAGTCGGCCTTACTAGTGCATTGCACTGCATGCAGGGAAAGCTCATCTTTGCTTGAACTCCCTTGAGGGCCAGAGAGAGAAAATTGAATTTATTTTGGAGCACGCCAACAATCTGAGGAAGGTCAATATCACTGTAATCTATCATGCATCTCCATGGAGATGGAAACAACCCACCCCTCTCCAGAGCAGTGACTTTCATCATTACACATTCTTTACAAAGCTCATTATCCCCGTATATGAAGTGTGGAGGAATGAATGAGTACACAGAGCTTAATAAAGCCAATGTTCAATGCTTACTCTGCTATATATTTTCTTTTATTAAAGGGAATACAAATCCATCTGCAGAATAGCTGCCCTATTCCTGAAACAGCATGAAAACAAAAACTAGCTTTGTAATATGTTGTTTGTTTTTGAGATCTACTAGTTGACTGCTGCGTCAACACCATGTTAGACCAAACAGGCTTTTATTCTCATTCACTTGTATCTTTCATAAATCAATATCCCCCATTTTATTTTTATACCAGTGCCCATATTGAGATAAAAAGGGAGGGCCCCAAATTCAACTACATTTCCCACATTATCATAATAACTTCTGTATTCCTCCATGAATTTGTCATAATGAATTATAATTTTATTCTGGATAGGTGAATTAAAATTTTCAGACCAATAAATATCAGAGGGGATTGCTATATTGCAAAAATCTAACTCCTTCTACTTCTTTATTTCTTCTGCAGGGTGGTGGAGGGTGGTAGGTAAGGGTTGTTAACTGGTTACATCCTCCACACTTTATAGCACAAAGGGCACATTCCAAATGAAGTCACAGGTTACGTACTAAAATTGCTTCTACAAATGTACTGATAGTATATAAAAATAAACTCTCTATGATATTGGTTAGGAGCCAGTATATATGAAGGAGCACCTAATTCCACATAAATTTGGTCGTCAAACATTATGATCTATGGAGGTCTTGTCCCATGTCTTGACACAAAGATAAGAACAGTTAGTGAAGAATAACGTCTTTCTTGTGGCAATGTCCTGATTCTGGAAATATCTCAACAGAGAAGTTAGATCAGCCCATCTTTTGGTTATTTCTAGCCAGACAGCTATTCTGCTGGGCTTGCAATTTATTTTAATGCATTGTTAAAAGTTTCATGGCTGGAACCACTGGGTTATTGTATGTTTTTCAGGCTGTATGGCCATGTTCCAGAAGCATTATCTCCTGACGTTTTGCCTGCATCTATGGCAAGCATCCTCAGAGGTTGTGAGTGCCTGCCATAGATGCAGGCGAAACATCAGGAGAGAATGCTTCTGGACCATAGACATACAGCCCCAAAGATTTACAACAACCCAGTTTATTTTAAATCTGCTTCCTATTCTTTCTCTATGATTTTCCTGGGTCCTTGTATGCTTTTAAAAGTGCATAAAATTAAGATTTCTACTGTTGTGAACTGCCTTGGGGGCTCATCAGGAACCGAAGGTGGCATAGAAAATTATAAATACATACCATACACTCAGTCCCTTAACTACCTGAAACTCCAGTTTTATGTCAACATGTTTAAGCAATAGCAACTAAGGGGGCAGAAAAAGAATTTTTTCTAGTGAGTGATTCCTTGAATACACTTCTAGTTATCCCCCTACTGGTTTTAGCTGTATCAGTTAGGGGAGACTGCATGGGATAAATCAACCTTTGTGAAAGCTGTTTGCAATAAACGTAGTAATAAAATATTGAAGGCTATTTGAGAGTGAATTTCCCATCTGCTGAAGGTGTGAGGCCAATCATTCCTCTTTACACATGAAATGACAACAGTAATTGCACACTGAGATTAGGCCATCTTGGTATGAGAATACATATGATGTGGCATGGAATAGAAATAGCACAAGAACTGACTTCTCATTGTGGATAGATCCCACATGGCAGGGTGTACAATGCAAGCACAAGGTTTTTGTGTTTTCACAAGCACTGTATTGTATAAGCCATTTAATCTAAAAGAATAAAAGATTCTAGTGAAATGACAACACAGCCATTTTGTAAAATATAAAACCTATCTATGTGTCTTAACAACAAGTGCCGCCCATAATAAACTAATTATACATATCACTGATTCAGTATATCTCATATGCAAATAACAGATTTAATCCCCTAGGCCTTGGCTTCTTTCTACTTGTCTGTAGTGACTTTATCAAGTTTACACAGCACAGGGACAGGGCTACAATTCCCAAGTTAACCCTAGACCTTATGCTTGGTTCCATACCAGCTTCGTTTGCTATTAGCATACGCACTCCTTCTAAGCTACTATACTTTCTGGCATGATGCACATCAAGATATAAGCTTAGACAGTATGCAGTACCATAGGTTAGCTTATTTGCCATAAGGAAAAACAGGTAACAAATACTACTACTACTAGTGTGACTACTGTTATTATTTGGTTTTAGTCATCTTTTCAAAAATACTATTTTAAAGGAATACACTTTACATTGTAATGCAGGTATTTTAAAATTAAATTGTTTTGGCAAGTATCTTTTGCTTATTATGTTTATATATCTTACTTTTCTATTAAAAAGGGCACAAATATCAGGTAACTACATTTAAATACAAATAAAAATGAAAGGAACAGATTAAAATCATAATTAAAACAAATAAGTAAAAAGACACAGTGCCTTTTGACTATAATCTTTGCAGAATGTTAGATTTTATATAGTACTTGCAGTAAGTGTTGTGCTACCTTTGCCTTTCTGAAAATATGAACAAAGGAACATTATTACTTCTAATCATGAATTACTCTCCAAAATTTCTCAGTATAAGCA